ATGAAAGGGCAGATGAAGAGTATTTCTGATTAAGTAGAAACCAGTCATCCAAACATAAAATCCTGCACTTTAATTGATACATCCAGTCACTGTCAATAAAAATAAAAACTAGTGATAAGAACGACAACAATCTTTTAACTAGAGCATGGCATTCTGTAATTCCAAGCTATACAGGACACCTACTTTTCCATGGTTCCCCCATGCTTGTGTATGAAATGACACCACAGATTGCCAAGAAGGCAAACAGGAAGAGGATTACGCTCCGCTGCAGTCGAGACAGCTGCTTCCATTTCTTTAGGAGAGAAAATAAGTAAGAGGAAGAATACTTAATATGGCATAAAGATCCTACTCAGTCAAAAATAAACACAAAACTGAGTAGGTTTAATTTTACCCTCTACTTCCAACTGCAGACATCCACTGCTTATTTTCTTCAATGATAAGAGAAAACAAAAATATAACATGCTAGCATACAGCACAGCAGGCTCAGAGAAACATCAGAGCCACTTGCTGCAAGAACTTCAGAGACTGCCAAACATTGAGACTTCCAGAGAGCATCACCCAGTGTGCTGAGTTCCACCGCAACCTCCACTGCTTGACCTGCGCATTTGCCCAGGTGTCAGGGGAAACAAGCCAAAAGCCTCTTTCCTCCCTCTGGCTGCAGAACACACATGCAAAATAAGAAACAGGAGAAAGTGGTACAAAACCTAAAAACATTACTGCAGCAAAGAAGAAAGACTCACAACAGGCTAAGTACCAGTCGCAGGACAAGAAGAGCCCGGCCTCCTGCCTCTGACAGACACAAACGGAACTGTCAAAGGCGCAACACGAAAATGAAATAAACCAACAGAAAAACTAACAAGACAAAACCACAATGTTTTCAAGCTTAGTCCTGGGCAAAAATGTGTTTTCAAACCGAAGTACATACAACAAAATCACTAAAAGTCAGACAGCAAATGCTACATTAGCCTAATAGAAAAGTTTCCTCCACTTAGAGAGCAGTCGGAATTAATGTTTAACTGCTAAATTACCATTTTGTTAGTTTTCTAACAGTCTTGTCAATATTCCCCAGAGAAGCATTTTGCCTGTAATTACTGGTTCTGGCATAAAGAGAGTGTGATTCAGTCCAACACTACACTTGGGAACAACCTGCAGTTCCCTACAAACTACTCTACACCCCACAGCACTTCCCATAGTCCTCAGTGAAGAACTGTCCATGTACTCACATTGCCAAGCCCCACAGCCCACATTTCCTGATGTCCTCCCACAGTGCCAGCAGTACAGTAACCCTGTAAAAGCTGCCCTATGCACCCATCAGCAAGATGCTGATCCCACTCCTGCACCTTCATCTCCACCTGCATGGCAAATCATACCAGTTGCAGAAGGATGCTTGAAACCCAGCAGCCCTACTTCTTCAGGGCAGGATATGAAAAGAGGCATTGACTGTGGTGTCTTGGGGTGGGTAGGAATGAGGCAAAAATACATGAGGGTATTTATTCACTTTTTTTGCCAACAAGGAATAAGGATAAAAGGAAGGGTTATCTTGTCCTTTTGACTCACATTTTCCCACCCAGCCTCTTCAGCCCAAGACTGTGGTAAAGCTGCCTGCCCAACTCTCACCCCCAAGTGGCAAGAAGGTCACTTCCATACAGCTTTGCTGAAGCTTTGCTATCTCCTCACACTCAAGTCTTCCCACATTAAACAGAACCATCCCCTTTATCCACCCAGGGAAGAGGACAGGGCCTCAAGCCCTAAAACAGGGAGCAAGGGCACCAAGACGACATCTCCCCACTCCGCCCGTGGCCGGAGAGCACAGTGTTGCCTCCCAAATGCCCACTAACAGACGGCAGGCTTCCCCTCAAACACACACCGCGTCCCCCTGCCAGCTCTCTTGCAAAAACTTAAGCTGTGACTTCGAGCACCCTCACTCAACCTGTGCCCCACAAACCCCAGCCAGGCAGGGAGCTGCCACCCACCACTACCGAGAGCAGGGCACTCGCCACGGACCGGCTCTCCCCAAAGACCAGGGCACCCCCCTGGCCCCATACCCAACTCGGAACGGGGAGGGCGGGGCCAAGCCAGGACCCTCCACACACAGCCCAGCGGCAGGGACACTCCCGACCTTGCGCTCCCCCAGCCCAACACGGCTTCCCCACTGCTCCCCCCTGCATCCAGCCGGGGCTACCCAGCACCACCCTGCGGCCCTCCACCCGCGCCAGGCCGGGCCCCCCTCACGGCGCGGCGCGGGTCCCGCCCTCACCCGCCAGCAGGAGCGCCGCCTCCAGGCCTTGCTGTTATTGTAGCCGCCGGGCCCCACCGCCGCCTCCTCCGGGCTGAGGGTGACGGAAATGAAGTCCCGGCGAGGCGGAGAGGCGGCGGCGGCAGCAGCCGAGTACATGGCGGCGCCTCAGGGCCCGCAGCCTGCCCGCCCACCGCCCCGCGCGCCAGCCGCCATCACCGCGCCTCCTCCCGGCCGCTTCCGGGCGCCGCTCTAGGCCGGGAGCACTTCCGGGATCCTATGGCAGCGGCCGCCGTGGGGAAGGGGAAGCGGGAGTTGGGCTGGTGGCAGTTCCGAGCGGAGCCACCGGGTACGCTGGCACGGGCACCGCTTTCGGGCGGAGGGCAGGTGCTGCTTGGGGCTGAACATCTCTTGCTCTTTCCGCTCGCTGTCCCTCACTTCACTTGTCTCACTGTGAGGGCCCTGCCCAGCGAGCCTTCAGCTGCCTGGGCAGGAAATGGGATGTAAGGAGAGGCGGGGAGCCCCTCGCTTTTCCTCTGTTGTGAGACTATAATGTAGAGACCAGTCACAGAAATACTGGCATGAAAGAAAAATAAATGGAAATATGCATGTGGAAGGTCTTCAGGGAAAACAACTTGACCAGAGAAGGGCCTTCACACTCAAATAACAGAATCCCAGAACCGTTAGGGTTGAAGGGACCTCTGGAGATCAGCCAGTGCAACCTCCTGCCAGGGCAGGGCCACCCAGGGCAGGTCACACAGGAACGTGTCCATGATGGGTTTGGGATGTCTCCAGAGAGAGAGACTCCAAAACCCCTCTGGGCAGCCTGTGCCAGGGCTCTGCCACCCTCAAAGGAGAGTTCTTCCTCATGTTGAGGTGACACATGTTGTGTGTTAGTTTATGGCCATTGCTCCTCATCCTGTCACTGGGCACCACTGGAAAGAGTGGCACCATCCTGCTGGCACCCATCTTTGAGATATTGATCTGCACTGATGGGTTCCCCTCAGCCTGCATCTTCTCTAGGCTAAACAGGCCCAGCTCCCACAATCTCTTATCATCGGAGAGATGAGAAAAGCCCAATGAGAACCCCTGACTATCCTTGTTGGTCTCTGCTGGACCCTCACCAGTAGCATCTTAACTGGTCATGCTCAGGAAGGGGTAGCACCCACCCACCTCGGGGAACCGTGCTCCAGTAAGGCCACAGCACCAGACACTGCACCCTGATAAAGAGGATCAGCTCCGTTCCACAGCATCGCTCCTCCTGCCAGCCTGCCAGGGAAGTGAGCACAGCAAAGGAAAACCCTAAACAACTATTGATTCTGAAAAGACAGAGAAGAGCTGTCTAATGTCATTATCACTCACCAGTGAGAACCCCAGAGACATGCTTTACAGCTGGCATCCCTCATCCCCTGCATCACACACACAGAGTCCTGGGCAGACAACACAGGCCTGAGAGCAGGCAGCTGAAATCTGTGAAAGGATGCATATGAGCGGGTGAAAATCAACTTAAGCAGTTGTGTAAACAACCCTTCCCTAAGATCCTGCACTGAATTTTGGTGCTCAGTAGGGTCCCCTTGTCCACGCAACTCCTTCCCTCACCTGCTTCCCCAGAGACCCTCAGCTGTCAATCCCTGTGCAAATAGTTCTCTGCATCTTCACCAGAGAGGAGGAGGGATGTTATCAGTGGGTGTAGAGGAACGGAGAGGAGCACTCTTTAGTGATGTACACATTGAGAGCCTCAACCTGACTGGTTTTGTAATAATGATTACTTCTAGATTGGGTTTGTAGTCCAACAGGAAAAGTAAAGAACTGAAGCAGTGGCTTTAAGTGCTGTCACTGCATTCACCTTCAGCTGTGTCTAACTATTTAATTAACATGCATCATTTGCGCCTTTAAATTTGGAATCTACCTCCACAACAGATTTCCAGGAAAAATGAAAATTTGGGTTTTTTTTCTGATCAAAAAAAAAACAAACCAACACCCAAGCAAACAATTCTGACAGGTGCGAACACTCTGCATAGACAAGTAGAGGAACAATTTAACAAAAGCCTGAAGCATGCATTTATTTTTAGTATTTGTTTTCCTATCACAGGAAACTACTGGTTCATATAGCTTAAAAACATATTAAAAACCCAGCAGCCTTCACGTGTGTGCCAAGAGAGAAACATGGAGCAAAATAGGTAAGGAAGATAGAATATCTACTTCTGACCTTTGCTGGGTTCAGCACTAAGCCCTCAAAAGAGGATGATCTGTCATTCATGAAAAAATGCCAACTTCCACCAATGATTGTTCTATAAATAAAGCCCAGTTTTAAAAGTGCAGTCACTGGGAATCCAAGCAAAAGCTGTGTTACAGTGAGTGCTCATAACCTATAGAGCAGCTGTGAAAGCCTGACTCAGATTCAGATCGCCCAATTCTACTTTCAAGAAAGGAAAAGCACAGACCACCCACAATGAAACTCCCTCCCCTCAGTATTCTGTGTTAAAAGCTTGAAAAAAAACCCCACCAAACAAACAGGAATGCAGGCAAGAAGAATCTTCTCTTTCCTGATGAAAATAAGACATCCACAATGTCAAACCCCATCAGGAGTTACCCTCTGCTGAGTTCCACATCCCCCTGTACCTCTGCAGCAGGGGCACTCTAGCCAGGCCATTAGTGACATGCAGTGTCCTGCAGCCGTGTTGACAATACCCATGATGTACAGGGACAAAGACAACAAGTGTATTTTCCTTATGGACAAGAAACACAGACAGACACATAGAAATCACAGTAACAACTTTATTATAAAAATCTTAGGTGTCCAAAAGTTGCTGGAGTCCTAAGGGACCTCCCTTTGTTTCAGGTACTTTTTCATTTCACAATGCACACTAGAATTATTTTGCTATATACAGGAGAGATACTATTTTTCTTTTTTTTTTTTTTTAAGTTCTCTCAAAATTTTTTCTATGTTCCAGTTTAAAATGTGAGGAGTTATAGAAAAACACCCCAACAGACAAGGCATACAGCATTCTAATTTGGCTTCCCCTCAACAACAACCTCTAAAAGCAGTCAACAGCTCAGTCAGTGTACACATGATTAAAGCCCACAGGAACTGAAGTCTCAAAGCACTTTATAAAGAGCAATAGAAATATGCTTTCTTTGTAGCACAGTGCACCTTAAAAGGAGCATGTGCCTGAATCAACAAGCAATACTCAAAAGATGCAACACAATTTGTTGGCAGATTGTCCTGGTTTCGGCTGGCATAGAGTCTACTAGGAAGAAAATTAACTCTATCCCAGCCAAAACCAGGGCACAAATATAAAACTTGACTGACAGGAATGGAATGATCCATAGAAACACTGTGAAGAAAAATACAGAATTGAGCATTACAGGCAAATGCTTAATTTATACTAAAAATGGGAATTACAGATGCACGGCAAACACAGGTAATCAAAACTGTCACGAGCTGGTCTGCACATGCAAAAGACTCATTACTTCAGTGCATATACACCTTATACCTGAAAACTGCCACTGACATTTAGATGCTTTCTTTGGACAACATGAGCCTAATTACAAACTGTACTTACTCTCAAAGCCATTTTTATACTTCTCCAACATTCTGAATACAGCTTTCACATCAGCAATCACATGTAAGTTTTTTAAAAGCCACGTAAGTTATTTAAAAGATTTATGCTTAATAAAACAGCATCAATTCCTCAATAGAAGCAGATGCATGAAATAACAACATTCCAAATGAAGCATCTTCCTTCCCACCTTCCTTTAAACCTGATTTAGGGTATAAAGTGCTCTTCAAGCAAAGGCCACCCAACAGTACACCTGAAGCATCCTCAAAAGGGTGAAACCACTTTGGTGTGTTCTGTGCTTGCCTGGCACGAGCTTGCCAGGGCAGTGCCAAAGGCTGAACAGGAGCAATCATTTGTGGTTCACAGGCACCCTGGGATCCCTTGGCCAGGGCCAAGTTCACATGCTACATGCATTCTGACTATTAGTGTCCTTAATTAGATGACACTTATCTCTGCGTTATGGTTAGTAATGTATTTAAAAGGAAGGCATCTAAAGGATGTCCAGAAACTGTAGAAGGAGAAGCTGGTGTTTTACTGTGTGCAGTGGTCATGCAGGGATTGAGTCTTTTTCATTTGTTTGCTTTGGCTGAGCATTAAATTTTACCATCAGGATTTGTGCCTCTTACTACTTTCAGGTACTTTAAAAGAGTCCCTTTGAGGGATATGGAACATATGAAATAGAAAAATGGAAAGTAAAATAACTGTTATAGACAGAAAGAACAGAGGATTGCCGGGGAAAAAAAAAAAAAATCTTCTTTTCAATAAAAAAACCTACAGCTGTAAAGAGCAATCAGTCAAAGCTTCATATTTCCATATGTTTTTTTTGGAATGGCACCAGCAAATCTAGATATGCATACTACTTTGATCTGCTTTGGAGTCCAAACCTCAAGCAACGCTTACGCACAGCAGCATCCCTACCCACTGCAGACTGCGCGATCTGGTTAGAGGATGCAATTGCTGTACTGGATCTTCTAACCAGCACAGCCTTAGAGGAAAGATGGATCTTTGGAAAGAAAGGCCCCAGTACACAAAGTCATTCCATACTTTTCAGTATGGGGCCTCAAACTGATTCTTCACATGCGCACACAAATTAAAGAAAAAAAACAGTATCAGAAACCACCAACCTCACCAGCACAAACAAAATCCCTAACAAGGCACTGAAGTGATTTAATCTTCTTGAATGCAAAGCTGACTTATTAGACCCTGACTGTCTCTGACACATATGTACGCACAGCAAATAAAAAATACAAAATGTGTTTGGTACCCAGAAGGTATTAATAATCTTCATTCATATCCAAGTCTACAAAACAGACTGAGGTAAAAGGCACAGCCTTCGAAGTTACCAGACAGAACTGGTGAGCACGCATGTGTGTGCAGACACAATTGCTGTAATGATTTGGCATCAATCGATACTGCAAAGCAGTGTTTTTTATAATGCACTTCATAGCTGATATTTTAGTAATGTTAGTTCTTACAATGGACCTGACAGGCAGTATCTGATTTGAGAGAAAAGCCTCCCTCCTTTTCAAGAATTTCCTAGCATTTCTGCTTTGTTTTCATCAAGTACAAAGGGAGATTGGAAGTCTCTGTTCTTCACGTACGCTTCCAGACCCTGAGAACGTGTGAAAACAGTACTGTTAGGTTGTAAATGCATCAGACTGGTTATCTGCACTAGTTTTAAGTCTCTGTAATATCCTAAAAGAAAAACTGACTAGCCAAAGTCAAAAGATCACTGACAGGACAGACAACAGCAACAGTTTCCCCATTGACAGGCAAAATGTTTCAGCCCCATGCGTGGGTTTCACAAAGGAGAGGCACCAATAAGCCTTAAAACAATGGATCTCAAAAACAGGCTTCCTGGGGAGCGGCAGGCAGGGGAAGATGTATCCTTAACTCATATTAGAATAATATTAGCAAAGAAGAGTCAATTTAAATTGCCTTGTTTTCATTTTGTTCTCACAATGCATCAATTGCGACAAGTTCACTACCTGCACACAGAAACCCAGGAAAGATTTAGTTTTATGAACGCCCTTCTTCACAGCGTCCACATATCCTCCTGCAATTCACTATTTCTCAACCTGTCTATCCAGCACAGGGAAGCTCCTCTTGCTACTAAATGGAAGCAGCTTTCCCAGTCCCAGTTATTTGCAGAGGGATAACTTGAGAAATCTAAGATGTGGTTTCTCTAAATCAAATACACATATCACACTTCTCACTCAGTGCTCACTCACTGTGAGAGACAGACACAGACCAGCACACACTGAATACAGTGACCCAATGAATTTTGTAATTTGGATAGTCTGTGATTTTCATTCAGAAGATCTCAAAGTACTCGTAAGTCTGGATGAAATTTTGCAGTCTTGTTGCAAATCTCATTTTACAGATGGCTAAAACTGAGCATGAACAAACTGCTGAAGAGTAAATCACAATGGAACCAGGAATGTAACACTGTTGTAGTTTAAGTGCTGAACCCAGGACAAACACAAAGCCCAAAACCTAGTTCCCTTGATCTTACCATTTCTCAGCAAGCCCAGGCTAAAGAAATCCCCCATGTCTGGAATGAAATCAGATGCATACCTGCATGCTTAAAAATACCTCCATAGACAGTTATTCTCACCTCTCCAAAGTAAGACACTAATGGAGATATCTCACACACAGCCGGAGCATCTTCAGTTCCTGAGAGACTAAAGAAGAGAACACAGGATTAACTTCTTGCTATGCTTAGAAATCAGTGCATCTTCTTAGAAAGCTCATCCAGAATAGGATATCCAGAAGGGTAAGACATTTGTTACATTCACATGCACCAGACATTATCCAAACACAAAGTGTGAAAGTAAAAGGGAATTAACAGGTCCCAAATATTTCTCACCAAAACAAGAACATCGCTTTTACTGGAGTACTTTTCAAGTAAAACAAACAGCTTGTGGGTTTATTAAACTATGAGCTGATGAAATAATAGCTCCACAGAGTAAAAGCAGCTCCCATTTAGAATGATGAAAGAAGTATCAGAATTGGTAATTGCTATAATAGCTGATCCTTAAGCCCTCCTGAAAATCTTCCTGGGCCATATTCAGAAAAGCTGGTGAAGACTACAGATTACAATTCCTGGCCTGGCTAAACCAGAATGATGGAAAAGGCTGCCCCTGCCTAAGGAGCTGCTATAGGAGGAGCCAGCTCATGACCCCAAAGGCAGGAATCTCTGCCAGACACAAAGCCCTGAGCACTGTGCATTACTGTCTGGAGCACTCACAATCAGTAATGGAGCAGAAGCTGTAATGGACATTACTCTGAATGTTCAGAAATGACCAGCTGAACAAGAATCATGCTGAGTCACCCTGGAGTCAAACTTATGCCTGCCTTTGTAGAGCACAGTACATGCCATTAGCTAGCTGGCGTGGCTGAGCAACCACAGGTAGGGAAGCTACAGATCACAGAGGTTCCTACCTGAGTTTCTCTGGTATCCTGCAACCATTTTCATCCAGAAATCTGGCCCCAGCCTTGAGAGCCCAGAGGTAATGCTGGGCCAGGAGGGCTTGCCGTGCAGTGGTGGGAGTGTCTTTGTCAGCTGTGTCTGCGTTTTTTAGCGGTGAGAACTCTTCTTCTCTCAAAACTTCAAATGCCACAAAATTCCTACCAACAAAGGGAGAAAACAATGATAATGAAAAAGCAAGCTAGCCATCAGCCCTGCTGATGCAACAACTTTCACGGGGAAAGGCTCATACACATTTTAGGAAGCAGCAATGTATCCAGCCTGGGACAGTCAAGCTGAGAAAAGCCCACCTCCCATCTGAACAGCAAAGAAGCACCAGGGTTGTATGATGGCAAAACACAAGAAGCAGCTCAGTGTCTGGGAACATAAGAGCAGCCTCACAACAGCTACGCACAGGTAAGAAGAAAAACAACAGTTCTGCAGAGATCCCCCAGAAAGCTCTCCAGGCTCTGGGAGGCTCATGGACAAAAATTCTCAGCCAAGAGCACAAGAAGATGGAGAGAGAAACGATGCCTGATGCACAGACACAGCCCTGGACACTTCAGAGCACCGCACCCCTGCTGCAAGAAATCACCACTGCACTTGTGATCTGTAGGCAAGGATCAACTCAGGACACCCGTTCCCAGGGATGAATGAGCAATATGAGAGGATTCACATTGAATGTTAAGTGCAGCCATTTCCCAGAAATGGGAATGCAAATTAAAGCAATCCCGTGGCAGCATCCATGTGCATTTCATGTGTGAAAGCAGCTGCCAAGCTGGTTTTGCAGTATTATGAAAAAAGCACAAGGAATCGCTGATTACAAGTAAGTCCTTTCAATGCTCAGGACTTGCCACTGCTTCCATCACACTGGTTTTGGCTTTGGTGCGTGACACTTCATTGAACACGTCAGGAAGCAGAGACTGATTCAACCCTTGAGCTTTCTATCCTAAAGTAAATCATCTGAAGAGAAAAATACTGTCCCCAAAGAAAGGTAATTCAGTTTGCATGAGGTCTTTTTCTACCATTTATTTAAAACTACAACAGAATCCTTACTGCTGAATTCCAGACTTCTGAAAACAGTTTTTGTAAGAACACTTATGCTAAATTCCTAAATTATTAAAATCCCACATTGTTTAAACAAAAAGTACCCCTGACTGCACCAACACCAGGGCAGAGCACTCTCAGTGCTTGGCAAGTCAACACTGACAATTTCACAGCAACAGTAACTTGGCCCCACAGCGCTTAAACGACCTGTTTTCTTTCTGAGCACTAAGGGTGTGAGCACCTAACCCATAACCACAGCTGCAGTTGCCATGGAAGCCAGAATCCTAAAAGACCCAATTTCTGCAGTCTCAGCATGGGCTTGTACTAAACGTTGGCTTTGTGCTCAATTTCCTTTTTATTCTTTCTTTACCAGGGCTGGCAGAGGCTAGACTGGCCTCCACATCCCCAGTGGAATGAACATGGCCCCTCTTGGAGCCAGTAGCATGACTGTGGTGCTGGAGCTTCATGCAGATCCAACAGCCTTTCTAAGGAGCCACCCACAAGCATACGCTCCCTGGCAAGGCCCATTACAACCTACAGTCATTCAAACAAACACTGAGGAGAGAGAAGAAAAATTAAATCATGTCTGCCACTAACTTAGAGAACTGGAACACATCAAATACAAACTTCTCCAGCTTTATCCCATTCGGTTTTAGTGGTTTTACCAGATTTCCCTCCTCATCAATGTAGGGCACTTTCTTTATGGCAACATGATGCTTCAGCTGCGGCTCATATTTCCTGCAAAAGGAGAAGGAACAAGTTCATTTACTTCGTGCCCACTTAGGAAAAAGTAGTACACTTCTGGGAAGGAGATGCCTTATTACAGCTCCGAGTCATCTTTCAGCTGCTGTGGGTGTTGCTCTCTCCAAACTGATCCAAACCACATCCAGGAAACACTGAGCAGAGCAGCCCAGCCACCAGGACTCCCTGTACCAAGGTAAAGCAAGAGGAGAGGGAGGACCTAGCGTGGAGCTGAAATTGTTACCTAACCAGAATGACAACAGAGTACAGCAGATCCCACATACAAGGGTGGATCAAGCTCTTCAGGAAGGTCGTACAGCTGCTCACTGAATGCCCAGCATCACATCTCCATCTCCCAACACCAAGGAGCACAGTCCTCCCCCAGCTTCACCCTCTCCTCCAACCTCTTGTTATCCCAAGGGAGGGTATGAGTGACATTGTCACTGAAAATCCTCAGTGTGAGGCTTCATCACTGACCATGCTGCAGCCTACATGGCTGCTCAACCTTGCAGGCCCAGGAAGGTCATGCACTGGTATATCTCTGTTGATTTAGCTACAGAAAAGCATGCCACTTCTTCACTGGGTAAGGCCTGAAGAGCACGCTGGGGCTGTCAGAAAGGGGATATAGCTGTTTTGAACCGTTTGGAGAAGAGAGGAGGTGAAGAGCAGAGCAGGAGGCACCCATAATGAAAGTTAGAGTGGGAAATGAGAACACCCTTGGAGGCACTTCTGGGCTGCATAGCTGCCTAGCAGGTCTGTTGGAACTTACTGGGCCACTGTTTCCAGGAACTCAACCGTGAAGAAGTGGTTACAGATATTGCCAGTATTGTACATCAGTCCCCCATTGGGACTCTGCTGCTGCGCGGTCTCCAGGCTGATCTCACTGTACTCCACCACTTGGTAGACCCCATCCACACAGCACACCACCCCAACAGGCTCTGTGGGGTAGGCCTTCTCCACCACCTGTAGCCATAAGACAGAGGGCTATGACAAGGAGGAAGAAAATCCCAGCACTATTCCAACTCCAAACAACAATCCTATAGGACTGTTTTCCACTGATGCTCTGGCACCTCAGGAACAGGGGCATGACAGTGCTGGTGTCCAGAGTAGCCTGGAGCCACATTTTGCCCAACAACTGGCCATAAAGCCCAGTACTGCTCAGAAGACAACCCAATTAAAAGAAATCAAGATACTGTGGGACACTTTTCTTATCAAAGACTGGGACCTGGAATTAAATGGAAAATGTCTGTGGCTATTAGCCTTCAGTGTTAATGATTAAAGTAGTATGTATCTTTCCTCAGGCACCTGCTGCTTTAGGGTGACAAAACTCAGGCTGGTTTGGCTTTCCCCATCTTCCACAGCAGCGCATAAGGAATGCTTTCATTAGTCTTAAAGGTGTATCTATAAACCACAACACAGTACAATACAGCTTCTAGATAGGACAAGAGCCTTTGCAGAAAGGGCAGGGCATAAGCAGGAAGCAATTCCAGTTTGTAATTCCCTGTGCAGTTACAGACCCTGCTCTGCTGGAAGTTTATTTCCCACTGTACTCTGGGAAGAGCAGAGGACACCAAAAGGTAGGGATTCTGAATGCAATGCAGGCAGCGAGCAGCTCCTCTAACAGCTTGGAGCAAGCTGCTGTTAGAGGTGTGAACACCTCAGCTCACCTAAGCACACCCAGCCAGCAGCTTCCAGGCACAGTCAGACCTTAATTCCCCATGGGACAATGTCCCAGTGTTAGCACCGCTTCACCTTTGCACCGCAATCTGCCCCTTTGGAAACACAGAAGCCTATGAAGACTGGATCTGCCATTTTCACGAGGATATTGTCCACACAGTATACATGGACGTACTGGATTCCACGCTGCTTCATGTCATCCAAAATCTTATTATCCACCAAAGCACGGTATAAGCCACCATTGCCATCTATAACACAAGAGAAAAGAGAAAGACCTGGTTAATTAGTGCCTTTGTAAGGGTTTTGGAGCTAAAAGAGCTATTTAACAGCAGAGCAGGGAATGCTCTCTGGCCAAGAGTCAGTGCTACCAGGTTTTATCCCCAGTTCAGGGAAATCTCCCCTGCACACCTCAGCTCCCTCACTGGCAGTAGGACCATGGGGACCAGCTTCACAGAGAAGCCTTATGACACTTTATGAAGCCTTATAAGATCCTCAGAGAGAAAACACTAAAAGGCAAAACATTATATGGAGGGTGGGAAAAGCCTGTTACATTCATTATCTTCAAGTACATATCATACTATATTTTTAATCATATTAAAAACTCAGCTTGGAGAAAAAGACAAGAATAAATCTTATTCTCTTTTTATCTTTCCCCCACAACTTCCCAATGCCTTTTTAAAGGGCTTGAACTGCAGATGCACAAGATACCTGCACATTTGCTCCTCAGAGATCACCCTTTCGAAGTTCTTCCTTTGACACTCCTGTCAGCTCTAGAAAACCACTTTGCAGCCACAAAACTGCATCACTGCAACATGGCCACAGCCAGGCTGTCTTCACTGAGTCTCTTACCATGTCCAGGTTAAGAGGAGAACTTTACTAAGAAGTGAGACACTTGCAATTGTTTTGGCGAGTTAATCTTTTTTACCCGTTTCCAGCTATCAGCCTTGAACAGGAGCCTGGCTCCTGGCAGCTTCACCGCTGGGAGGCAGCACCTCAGGGACCTCACGCTGGTTGCAACTTGCTCTTGACTTGTAGCTGCACCACTCCTCATCCTGCCAAAGCTGCCAGACTTCCAAAAAAACCTGCTGTGGGTGAATCTCTGGGAAGACCAGAACAGAGATTGCTGCACTTTTGATCGCCAGCCTGAAACACTGAACTGAACCCTCCCACGCTCATCAGAAGCACTAACACTGACCCAGCTGGAGAGAGATTTGAGCAAGCTGCTCTGGTGGAAGGTGTCCCTGCCCATGGAACAAGTTGGAACTGGACAAGCTTTAAGGTCCCTTCCAACCCGAACCATTCTGTGATTCTATGATTCTATGACCTCCAAAGACTGCTCCATGTGCCAAGGCTGGTAGCAATTATCAACATGATGGCTGGTAGCAATTATCAACACATATTACATTACTGTACCATGTAAGAGGAAACAGTGGGGTACCTGGAGCCATGGCAATTTTCCCTTTCTCTTCCAAGATGGCCTTCCCATCAAAGGTGACAGCGGGCAACATCCTCTGTTCAAACATGATCACGTTGGATCTATCCAGATTGAAGTAGTTGTGTTCTACAAAGAATTCCTCTGTCGGCCCCAGTGTGAACTCGCTTGTCATGATGTACCTGGGTAGAAATGGGTGCTGAGTAATGAGCAAGAAAAGCATAAGCAAAAGACAAAACTACAAATGGAACAGAAAAAGGAGGAAACCCAAGAGTGCTAAATGAGAGACACTACAGTGACCTGCGATAGACAACTGAGCAGCAGAGCTCTGCTCCAGAACTCATCCCACAGGGACGTTGCACAGGGTCTTGTGCATGATTCTACCCACAGACTTAGCTCCAACCAGGACAGAATGTTCTCTACATGTGAATGACATCTGGATGAGCTAGAAAACAAGGCAAAGGACAGTACAACAGCCTCGTTCACCCCAGATTACAGATGATGTAAAGTGCCTAAAGAAGCATTGAACAGCATGAGGCGCTCAGAATGAGCTGCAAGTCCTCAGCAGCTCAGCCTGCCAGTGCCTCTTCTGTGCCAAGGCCAACAGCAGCATTTTCAAATACTGGCTGCAGGAACTGTTTTTCTCGTAGCTTGCTTTATTTCCTCGTTTCCTTCCAACTCCATGTTGCTGCTGTTTTTCGCTCCACTATCTTCCTTTTTCAACAGTAGCTAAGAGCCATCTTCATCATCTACCTGTCAAGCACTTCAACTATTGGCAGAGGTATACAGCGTCCTCTGCGAGCATGCCAGGGGAATCAGTCCCTTGCACAGGAAAGAGCCTGGACCTCACACACCCCCCAATGTACATCTTTGCAGCACAGCATAGACTAGGCTCTGGTGTGCTGTTGTAGCCAGCTGCCTCCTCAGCCCAGAGAGAGGAACTGTAAACATCAGCAGATGTTGCATCTTGCAAATAATCCATCCTGGGTTCCACCAGCACCAGGGAGGGTGCATTTGCAGCTCAGATCACAAGGGTATCTCTCCAGAACCTAACAAAGACCACTCTGCAGAGAACATTCCCAGAAGTCTGCTGCAGCACCTTCCTCTCTCTCACCCACCACATCCTATAGGGAATTCATATTTTGCAACATACACAGAGCTAGTCTCTTTTGAAGCCTTTTGAAGGTTTTTGAAAGCTGCCAGAAGAGACAGATGACAGCCAGCTGTAAACAACAACAGCAGGAGGCAGCCTGGAAATGGAGCATGACAAGTATTTACTACTTTTTTGCTGTTGCAGAAAGTGCAGGCAAGAAGGTCTTAGAAGGTGAACTCCAGGTAATCTCTCCCTCCATGCAGTAACCTGAGAAGGCACAGCACAAGTGGATGACAACTGCTGGGAGGCATCCAGAACAGGCCCTGAAAAGTGCTCTGCAGAGTGTTGTCAGGGACTGTGCTTAAAAAGACAACATGATACAGCAGTGAGGGTAGTGGTCAGTGGTCCAAGGACAGTGCTCGGACCCTCAGATCTGCAGACACAGACCTGCCACTTCTCATCCTTGTGCACCCTCCTCCAGCTCCTGGCATCACAAATCTTGCCAACTAAAGGCTCTCCCTTGATAAGCCTCTCTCCAACCCCCAGGAAAATGCTTCTAGAAAACCACACAGGCAGGACTGCAATACAGATGCCTGCAGAGTAGGTCTCTGGTTCCAGGTCACCTACCAGGGTATGGCACACTTGCAGTGGTGTCTCTGGCCAGCAAGCTGTTCCACTTTATGGATTCTTTCTGCTTGGATCTGATACAAGGTCTTGCCACTGGGCAATCCCACGTTGTACATGCCCTTGGGATAGCTCACTCCCAGGCGAGTTCCTTGACCTCCAGCCAGGAGCAGCACTGCCACCTTGTTCTGCGAGATCTGATGCAAGCCTGAACAGGAGAAAGAAGCCCAAGGGAACATAAGAATCACAAAAGCAATCAACACCCCACGGTCTTCTGAACCTTTCTGCAGAGATCAGGCAGCAGCCAGAAGCTGCCAGTCCAATGCCCACTGCTGGTGGTTCAGAGAGAAACAGGATACTGCACGCGATGAAAACATTCATTTCACCTCTCTGATGCAGCAATTTCCTCACCTAAAGCAGCAAATTGTGTAACAACTGCAAACAGCCACGAGCTACAGCTCAGGAGGTTCAAACTAGAAACTGGGATAAAAACTCTTTACTAGGAAGGTGATGCTTGATAAAGCCATAGCTGACCTGACTTAGGGCTGGATATGGTCCTGTTCCAAATAGAGGCCGGACTAGTGACCTCCAGAAGTCCCTGATCACCAACATTTCTACGTCCCAAAGAAGCAAAGTCTCATCTTCAGTAAAGCACAGGCATTTCTGGAATCTACCTTGATCAAATCTCTGTACTTATGCTTCAGTTCCTGTACAACTGCAGTCAGGACCAGTAATATAGCCAAGCCTGCAGAAGCCACAACTCCCATGATCTAATGAAAAGACAGTATCACTTCTCCCAACAAAACAGGAAAGTCCAGAACTTAGGGAAGGACCAGAGCACATAATAAACCCACAGCTCATCCAGTTTTTGTTCCTTGCCTTCTCTCAAGCTAGCAGTCAGTAATGACTGACAACCATGAGAAAGATTTTTCCTTAGGGAACACTCCGTGTTCCTCAAGGAATGAAGTGAGCTCTGGGACTGCCTCGATTAAAAGTCCCAATCTGTTGCTGTACAGGAGCTATCAGAGCCTTCCGCACCCTAACACAAGTCCAGCACACATCACTGAGCCTGCCACTGCTCTCTACAGCCCCAGCCAGCCAGTACTTCCCCCCATCCTCTGAGGAGAGGACTAACACCCAGCTTTAACACACCGGGGACTAGAAAAATCCTGACTTGGACTGAAGATACTGAATTTCAGAAAAACAGGATTGGTTTTAAGCTCATCTTTAAATAACTGACTGTTTAAATGAGCAATAGAGGGAAAATATCAACTGTTGTTCTAACAACCCGGCTGGGCTTTAACTCTGTTCAAAATCTAACTTTCAACAATAAAATCAGACATAAGCCATCCATGACACTGCACGAACACTAATGACCTCTCCATGCTTACAAGTCACAGTCCCACCACAAGAGCAACACCATGTTTCTGTCTAAACAAACCTCTTCTGAAGAGGCTGGAGATGACAGCTTGGGCACACTGAAGAGGGTTCTGACAGCTCTTTGCTGCAGAGCAAGCTTTGACTTCACAGGACCCCGTAAGTGCTTGTTCACCTCTAGAGATCTGCATTCCACCCTCCAAGTGGGATCGGAAGAGCTCTCTAGAGGGAAACCTGTAGGAAGGTGGAAGTCTTGAGGTTTCTATGTTTCAGGAGGGCCTTGGGTAGGGGGTGAAGCTTGAATAGGTTTTAACTTGAGATTTACAAGGCACAGACAATGGCACTGGTGAGCTGTACAGCAAAGCAAATAAAATAAGCCTAATTTTATGCAACAAACCACAAGGAATTAACAGCTCCTTTGCATCTTTATTGAACTTCCTGTCACAAAGGCTTAAAACACATAGCAGGGGGCTAAGGTGGTAGTACACCACTACTACCTGCACCAGTCCCCAGCACATGGTTTGCCATTGTGTGCTCAGCAGGCTGTTTGCCAGGACACAGCATGATGCTGGGAGAAGGGAAGGATCCTGGCAAAAGGCCACAGGATCAAGGATGGTGACTGTCCCCCCAGTACAACCTAGCACAGAGGCAGCCAACTCGTGCAGGACACAAGCCCAGCACGGTGCAGCCCTGGAGCACACAAACTTGGGTAAAACCTTCCTTCCGACCAGCCCATTCTCCCTCGCGTCCTTTCTCCTCCCCATGCAGACACAGATTCATCAAAGGAGCAGCCAGCTCAGCATCAGACCAGCCAGGGATGCTCAGCTCCCAGCTGGCCCTTGAGTCCACATCCCTGCCAGGGCATCACCTCGGCTTGTGCCCGTGCCTTGAAGCAACAGCAGTGGCGTGGAGCAGGAAGGAAGTACAGGCCAGTGGGGGGTCAGCAGTGATAACAAAATTACCAATGGGAGAGGAAAGTCACTGTGGTTAGAAACCATAGCCAAACTCTCAGGGCACTGTTATGGTAGCTGTGCCTGTCCTGGGACAAGGCAGGGAGAAGACAGTTGCAGCTATAGCTGAAGCAGTGTTACCACAAGCAAGGATGTGGTTACACAGATCCTGACCATTCCCTTCCTAGGAAAAGGAGTAACAACTGCCATGGTCCTGCTGAGCTCAAACAGCATGGGGAGCTGGTTCACCACTCCACAAGGCAGTGCCACTCTGTTGACAAACCTATCCCTGAGGAAGCTTGATCTTGGCCTCTTCTCAGTGACGATAAGCCTCTCATAAAGCAAGATAAATAGCAGCGTCTGAGCAAAGAAAAGCCCTTAGCTATGAGCACTGGCAAGAGTGTACTTGCTGTCATGCCCACAGCCAAGGACAACACTGAGTGAGTCACTATCCAGCGATTCCCAACCACATTCCAGTTAGGAAGCTCACAATGTCCGTTCTCAGAAGTTTTCCACACAGTGACGAGAGGATGGAATCTGCCCAAGGGTGATTTGGCATCTCACACTCACCTCCCAGAGGAGCTTCTTACTGCAGGGACCAAAATCTCAACCTAAGAAGAATTAACCCAAGTCCGAAGCAGCACCACTGATAGCATGAACTGCGTCATTCTCTTTTTCTCTTCCCAAAATCCAGCCGATTGACAGGGCCATATTCCTGGGAGATGCCAGCCCCAGCAAAGGGACTCTCCTTCCCATAATTTATGATATTCCCAGTATTTCTGGTGCAACCCTACAACTACTGGCAAGTTCTTCCTGATTTTAGGCCACCATGAAGATAATATCCCCCCAAACCTGAGTAAGTAGGTCTGCTCTGACTTCCCAACTGTAAAACTACTAACGTTCACATCTAAAGTTCATACTGACACATCTTGCTGCACATCAATCCTGCAGTAAATGGAAATATTTATCCCTCTTCAAAACCAATCCATCTTATTTTCTGCAGTGCATGAAATACCAACAGCTCAACCAAACAAGAAAGGGAAGATGTTTTGGCTGTTGAGATACCCCCCAGTGCTGCACTAAGCCTTACTCTGCATAGAAAGTAAAAAACAAAAATAGATTTTGCAGGAAGAACAGACTGAATTCTCCTGCTGAACAAGCGCATCAGCCTGGTTATAGGAGCAGTCAGCAAAAGAAGAATAAAGCAAAAAACCCCAAAACATTAATTCAGATAACCAGAACAGCTCCTCAAGCCTCTGACAGAATCAGAGCTCCACTGCAGTCCTTGCCTAAGGCTTAGATTCCGTTAATAAAACATTTACAGAACATAAAAGGTCTGTGCTTGATTTACACTGTCATCCCTGAGGCTGCCTGGAAAATGCGTTTGCTTAACGTTTGTGTTTAAGGTATGAGAACAAATCTGACCACGCTGAGTTTCATTGTCTCAGAGACAAGAACAATGACATCTATTTTTTTCAACGATCAAAAAATACCTCTGGTGTTCCCAAGATCGTCACCACAGAAACGTGGTGGAATAACTCACATGATCGGAGTGCTGCAGTGGATGGCTACAGGCCCTTCAGAAGGGATAGGCAGGGAAAAAGAGGTGGTGGGGATGCACTGTATGTCAGGGAGTGCCTTCAATTCAGTGTTGTGAGTGACAAGGCTGTGTGTTTAGGGGTGAAGATCAGGGGAAGGCCAACTAAGCTGATAACCTGGTAGAATGTTATAGATCTATATAACTGTATAGGTTATATAATATAACTGTATAGGTCTATAATAGCTATAGACCACCTAGCCAGTATGAAGCTACAGATGAAATGTTCTCCAAAAACTGGGCCAAGTTTCATGATTACTTGCCCTTGTTCTCACGGGGGACTTCAACCTACCAGCTGTCTGCTGGAATTACCACACAGGAGAGAAGAAACATTCCTGGAGGTTCACAGAGGGTGTGGAAGATAACTCCCTAACCCAGGTGCTGAGTAAGCCAACTAGGGGAGACAACTGGCTAGATCTGCTGTTGGCAAACAGAGCACTGGTGGGTGATGCGATGGTTGGAGGCTGTCTTGGGCAACCAAGATTGAATTTTCAATCCTTGGAGAAATCAGGAAGAAGGTCAGCAAAACCTGCACCTCAGACTTCCAGAGAGCAGCCTTTGGCCTGCTTAGGACGCTGGGTGGCGGAATTCCTTGGAAAACATTACTGAAGGATAAAGGGGTCCAAGAAGACTGGACACTTCAAGAATTAAATCCTTAAGGCGCAGGATCAGGCAGTCCCTATGTGCCAAAACCAAAACCGGTGGGGAAGAGACCAGCCTGGCAGAACAGGGAGGGAGTGCTGGAACTCAAGAAAAGAAAGTTTATCACCTGTAGAAGAAGGGACAGTTACCCCATGAAAAGTACAGGATGTTGTTAGGTTCTGTAGAGAAAAAGGTAGAAAGGCAAAGGCACAGACAGATATAAAACTGACCGTTGCCATAAAAGATAATAAAAAAATACTTTTACATATGTATTAGAATAAAAGGAGGGCCAAGGAGAACCTCCATCCTCTGCTGGATACTAGGAGAAACCTAGGGACTGAGGACGACGGAAAGGCTGAGTTGCTGAATGCTACCTTTGCCTCAGCCTTTAAGAGTCACGCTATCGCCAGGGTACTTGGTTCTCTGAGCTGGATGGCAGAAATGGGGAGCTAATTGAAGTCCCCATAATCCAGGAAGAAATGGCTAGAGACCTCCTCCTCCACTCAGGTATACACAAGTCTATGGGGCCAGGTGGGTTCCATCCAAGAGTGCTGAAGGAGCTGGCAGAGGAACTCGCTAAGCCACTCTCCATCATCTATCCACAGTCCTAGGTCAGTGTAGTGGGCAGGTCCCAGAGGATTGCAGGTTGGCCGATACGACATCTCCACAGAAAGTAGTGGCCTTGGCAGAGCTGGGAATGGTTGGACTGGATGAGCTTAAATGTATTTTCCAATCCAGCTGATTATATGATTCTGTGACTAAATTTTGGGTAGCCTGGTCCTTTTAACCACCACTTTTTATCACAAAAAGAGAGAATGGGAAAGGAGGAGACACCCCTTCAGCTGTTTAGTCTTTGCAGGGAACACACTGCAGGTGAGAACTGCTGGGAATGTGGACACCCGTGGACAGAGCTCAGATAAGCTCAGTTCAGGGGTTACCCTGACCTCACACCGGGGGCTGTGTCAAGCAGTGGGTCAGGGCTGCTCACCCTGCTCCCATCCAGCTCCACACCACAAAAAAAAAAGAGCCTTTAGGGGCCTGCATCCCCACAGGGACCCCCAATCCCCACAAAGCCTGTGCCACTGATGCCAGCTCCACTAGGAAATGCTATGCCAGGGCACATGGACACTCCGGGATGGGGCCATGTTCACAGGGACACATGGCACAAAGTCTCACTCCCAAGTGCCCTCCTCTGGGAAATAAAACCAAGGTCTGAATCCCATCACCAGCATTAAACTGGATCATAAAAACACACCAAAAGGAAAGAGAAGGACAGCATGTTCCCTCCTGGGAGAGATTAAGACATACTGCCTGCAGGGCTGGTGTGGCTCAGGGCCACCAGGCCTCAGGGCCAGGGCAAGCTGACTTGTACACATGGCCAAACATCCCAAACACACCAGACCTTCTGGACTCTTGCAAGCATTGCAGTGCTGCAGTTCTGCATCCAGCTCTGGGACCCCCAACATAAAAGGAATGTGGGGCTGTTGCAGCAAGTCCAGAGGAGGCCACGGAGATGCTGCGCTGAGGGCTGGAACAGCTCTGCTATGGAGCCAGGCTGAGAGATCTGGGCTGGGTCAGCCTGGAGAAGAAGAGGCTCCAGGGAGAGCTTTCCTTTTCCTGCTGCAGACAGGCACAGGGCAGACACGCCAGTTCCTCATTGGCTCAGCAGGCTAGAAGATCAAGGAACCAGTTTGTTAAAACTGTTAACTGTGCAGCCCTGACCTAGACCCCTGTGCCTCTGGGATTCAGGGGTCCTCTTCCTCCTCACCGCAATACCCTCAAGCAAGAGGCTACAGGCACCATCCCAGCAGGTTCCCTGCCAAACCCCACTGGTTACATCTGAGCGTCTGCTGTGTTATCGGCTGGGCGCTGACACCCTCCTCAGCTGGGCTGCAGATGTAAGCATGGCTGGTGGATCCCTGGTGGGACCAACCACAATGCGGCCCTTGGGTTTCCTCTAACTCTGTCCATCACTGCTGAGCCCCATCAGTGGAGTCTGATGTAGCAGAGAAGCTCCCCATTACCCTGCCACTTCTGTTTCTGCTTTTGCTTGGAAATTTTTACTCCGCTGCCCACACAACCCCACATCTTCGCTGGAAGTTTTAGGTGAAGGCTGTGCAAATGCTTGCCACAATTCAGCAACTGTCTCTCTGACCACAGCTGTTTTCTTCAGGCTTCCTTTTTTAATAGTACTGTTCTATTTCCCAAAGAAGGAGGGAAGACACATCTGAACCTTTGTAAACAAATAAAACAGAGTACATACAGGATATCCATGTAAAACATGTGGTCCCTTCCCTGTGGAGGGGAAGAGCACAGCTCACATCAAGCCCATCTTTCATATGCCTACAGGGTGACCAGGGAAAGCCACCAGCATATACCAGGCTCCAAAAAAAACTGGATGCTGGGCTTTCCAGGCTTCTTCTACACCACCAATCTACTCTGCTCCCACATTCCATCCCCCTTCTGCATCACACATGGCAGAGTCTGGACAGGGCTCCACACTTACATGAGAACTGCCTCTGCATCCATCAGTGGTCTGAAAGATAGTGTGTAGCCCCCTATTCCAGCAGCAACAGTGTCCAGTGCAGGGACTTCACCTCTTAAGCCCTGGGGCCCCTAACACAAAAGGGAAGTGGAGCTGTTGGTGTCCAAAGGAGGCCACGGAGATGCTTTGAGGGCTGGAGCAGCTCTGCTCTGGAGCCAGGCTGAGAGAGCTGGGCTGGGGCAGCCTGGAGAAGAGAAGGCTCCTGAAGGGGAGACCTGAGAGCAGCTCCAGTGCCTGAAGGGGCTGCAGGAAACCTGGAGAGGGGCTTGGGACAAGGGCCTGTAGGGCCAGGCCAAGGGGAATGGCTTTAACCTGCCCGAGGGGAGACTGAGATGAGCTCTTAGGCAGAAGCTCTTCCCTGGGAGGGTGCTGAGGCGCTGGCACAGGGTGCCCAGAGAAGCTGTGGCTGCCCCATCCCTGGCAGTGTTCAAGGCCAGGTTGGACACAGGGGCTTGGAGCAAGCTGCTCTAGTGGAAGGTGTCCCTGCTCGTGGCAGGGGTTGGAGCTGGAGGAGCTCTGAGGTCCCTTCAATCCAAACTATTCCAGGATTTATTCTATGATTACATCCACCCGCGGGGCACGGCGTTATCCCCGGTCCTGCCAACCACGTGCTCTCCAGCCTCAGGCTCTATATTTAACAGCTAACAGCGGAAATTCAATGTCACAGCCCTAGAGCCTCCTCAGCCCCTGCCGTGCACCGGGATGCGGCTGCCGTTGCCTGGGGCCCGGTGGCACTGCCATAAGCCCAGATCTCCCCCCCACCGCCCGCCCCACTGTCACTCTCTGTCCCACTCGCCCTCCCCGCCTGACCCCGGTCCCAGCACCGCGTGGTGCTGAGGCCCCCGTCTGCGCCCGCGCCAGGCTCTGCCGGACGCACTCGCACGGAGCCCCCGGCCCCGCACGTTCCCGCGGGGCCAGGCCGCGCTCTCCTAGGATTTTAGGGCAAAACTCGGTATTCTGGCACCGCATGGCGGACGTGCCGCCCTGGGGCACCCTTCGGAGCGGCGCTGGCACAGATGCCCTGTGCCCTCCGCCCCGGCTCCGGCTGACGGGTTTGGACCGGGGAGACGCTCCAAGGCCCCGGGGCCAGGGCCAAACTTAGGCCCCTCTCCGGGACCACGGCCCCGCTCACCTTCCGCTTCCCAGCGCTCCAGCACGGCGGGGCCGCTGCGACGGGCGCTGCCCAGCAGCCGGGCAGGGAGCGGCTCCATCCGGCCGTCCAGGCACTCCGGTGGGCCCCGCTGGCGGGCCCCGGCCGCCGCCGCCATCCGGCAGTGCTCTCCCAGCCCCGGCGGCAAAGCGGCCAGCAGTGCGCCGCGCTGCGCCGGGGACAGCTCGGCCCAGAACCGCAGCAGGTGGCTCTGCCCGCACCGCGCCAGCCGGTCCCGCACCTCCTCGGGCGGCTCCATGCAACCGCTCCCTACCCGCCGGATCGAGCGAGCACAGGGAGAGCGGCGGGACCGCCCCGCCACGGCCCCGCCCCGCCGAGCAGCTCCCACCTACCCGGGCCCCTTTGAGGACCCCGGCGTGCTCTGCTCTCTGCTGCCTGGTGTCCCGCTGCAGCCGCGGGAGGTCTTCCCTGAAGCCTTGCGGCCCCCTCTGAGAACGTGGAGCTGCTGGAGCGAGGCCAGAGGAGGCCAAAAAGATGATGCGAGCGCTGAAGCAGCTCTGCTCTGGGTGCAGAAAGTTGAAGTCATAAAATTCCAGACTCTTTGGGTTGGAAGGGACCTTAAAGCTCCTCCAGCTCCAGCCCCTGCCACGGGCAGGGACACCTTCCACTGGAGCAGCTTGCTCCAAGCCCCTGTGTCCAACCTGGCCTTGAACACTGCCAGGGATGGGGCAGCCACAGCTTCTGTGGGCACCCTGTGCCAGCGCCTCAGCACCCTCCCAGGGAAGAGCTTCTGCCTAAGAGCTCATCTCAGTCTCCCCTCTGGCAGGTTAAAGCCATTCCCCTTGGCCTATCACTACTGTAACAGTCCAGTCACCCCCCCACTACAGGTTTGTCCTGCTGCACAGTCTACTGGGCTGATTCCAGAACCCACTGCACCCATGTGGGTAGAAATTTTCTTCTGTAAAGCACTGCAAATAGCAGCAGGTGGGATCAAATATATGAGGCAGGACAACCTGAGGGAACATGAAGGAGGTACAAGACTCAAACATGCAGGTGGAACAGGAAAGAAATTAATCCTTAAAAAAGCTCCAGCACCCTGAAAACAGAGAGACAGCAAACCGTGCTCTGTCAGGTGTAAGAAATTCCACCAGGAGACAGGCAGAGCTGCCTGTGTTTAAGGCCCTACATCAGTCTTCCATGGCAGGACTGTTCCTGAACGCTGCCTTGAGCCGCTCCTGCAAGATGGCTTCAGCAGCAGCAGAGTGAGACTTACAATAGGACAGAGCAATTGCTGATAGATTCTAACGGGAGGACTTGCAGCATCTGTCACACTTTGATTTAAACCCCGGATGACTCCCTCTACTTACACTGTGTGAGACTCCATCAGCAGAAGGGCAGGAAGGTGACGCCACACGAGTGACTGACATTTCCTACCAACACAAGTCCTTGCTTTGCGGATCAGGCATGTTGCAGCGTGAGTAAACAGAACCCCCACCCTCTGGACAGCTGATCTCAGCTTCTCCCAGCCCTCGTGACAGCCTGTAAGCCACCAGGCAGCCACCACACTTCCTGCTCAAGGCCCTTTGCAGGGAAAAACAGTCGGGAGGAAAGAAAAGCAACTTTATGAGAAGCAGCTGGCCCCCTCCAGAGCAAACAGAGCAGGTCCTCGGGAGGCCCTGCAAGCAGCAAGATGGAAAATGAGATGTCAGTGCAGAGCTGGGAAGATCAAACAAGATAGCCGCCCTCCAAGGGAAGGTCTGCTGTGTCTCCCCAACCACGTGGCCCTTGCAACCTTCAGCCTCTGCCCAAAGGTTTACAGATGTGTTTCTGGGTTAACACTTTGGTACCCTACTGGAACTGATTCCTGTCACTCCTTGGCTCTGGGGCTGGAAGAAGAGTTTAACAGCAATTGTGCTGAATGAATTGGACAGCTGTGGGAGCACCAGAACTTGGCATCTGGACTGCTGTGTGCACAGCTCCTGGTCTGGTCTTAACCAAGCCCTGACCAACTGTTCCTGGGTATGGTCTGGTAACCTGCACTGCCCGAGGACCAACTCATTTTGGATGCAGCACTGTTGAGACTGTCAGTACAATACACAGAGGAGGGCTGTGCTGTGCTGGCTGGTCCACCTGGTCCATCAGACCTTGCTCTCCACCAGAAGAAAGCAGCAGCAGAAGTTAACAACACAGAACCCGAAATTAGTTTGAGTGGGAAGGGACCTTAAATCTCATTCAGTTCCAGCCCCCTGCCACGGGCAGGGACACCTTCCACTAGAGCAGCTTGCTCCAAGCCCCTGTGTCCAACCTGGCCTTGAACACTGCCAGGGATGGGGCAGCCACAGCTTCTCTGGGCACCTTGTGCCAGCGCCTCAGCACCCTCACAGGGAAGAGCTTCTGCCTAAGAGCTCATCTCAGTCTCCCCTGTGGCAGGTTAAAGCCATTCCCCTTGACCTGTCCTTACAGGCCTCTGTAAACATCTGCTTGAACATAGCCCCATGGCTGCAATCACTGTGTGTCTTGTGCAGAGTCAAGCTTCACACGTGAATCCCTACATGCTCCTGTAGTCAGCATGGGGCTTCATCTACTGCCACAGTCACCCAGCATCACCTGTAGCTGGCCAGTGTCATGTAGGAAGGTGCCCCAGTCTCCACCACCTGTTCCTCCAGTGCTCTGCAGGGTTTTTGGTGTGGCTCCTGTTACCTCCCCTCCCAGGGGTGGGAAGGCTGGTTGGTGGACACACTGGCCTGCCACCACCTTCCTGGGAACATCAGAAATTCCATGGCCTCCCAGAGAGGGAAAGTGATATACTGAGTGCCACCACACTGGAGCTGTGAGTGTGCCTGCAGGCCAGCAGGGAGAGAGGTTTGAATGGCAGTTGGCAGTTGGTGCTTCCCAGTAGTTTGGAGGAAGAACTGAATGACTATGTTGTTTAGATTAAAAACAAACCCAACACAAAGATGGCTGTTGAGCAGAAGAGTCTGGGCCGGCCCTGAAATAAACTATTCGGGGGGGGGGAAGACTTTTCCAAGAATTTTCAACATCTCCTAAACCTTGTTCACCTGCTCACACCAAGGATGAGAGCCTCTCCCATAACAGCCTTTCCAGGACACTTTGCTATGGAAAGCAGAGTAAGACCAGGGCTGCACTGGGCAGTTGCTCCCTGCTGCTGGAGCAGAAAGCACCCCATGGAGGAGTGAGAGTATTTGGGCTGAAATACTTTGCAGGAATTATTTTTGGTGTCTGTTTGCTTTCCTGCTGGGTCCTGGTGGGACCTGCCAGGCAGGGAAATTGAACAAGAGACATTAAAGTCATATTGAATTCCTGGCTCTTCCATCAAGTCCAAATGTGTGAGAAACCTAAATAACTTTTTCCTGAAGATTTATCTTTTGCTGAGAACAGCCCATGTGCTGATGCTATCAGAGTTGAGCAGCATCACATTCACTGCCTTGTTTCCGGAGCAGAAAGGGGAGGGCTGATGCACCAGTTCCTTCTCCCTGTATCCTGAGCAGGTGTGAACCTGTTCAGTCAGACACGACTATGCCAAGCAGAGATCTCAAAACAGGTAGGACAGGTCCTTGAAATTTATGGAAAGAAATGGTCAAGACAAGCAGGCGAGGGGAGACTGAGGTGAGATCATCCGCAGAAGCTCTTCCCTGTGAGGGTGCTGAGGCGCTGGCACAGGGTGTCCAGAGAAGCTGTGGCTGCCCCATCCCTGGCAGTGTTCAAGGCCAGGTTGGGCACAGGGGCTTGGAGCAAGCTGCTCCAGTGGAAGGTGCCCCTGCCTGTGGCAGAGTTAGAACTTCATGAGCTTTAAGGTGCCTTCAACCCAAACCAGCCTGAGACTCTGTGATTCTATGTAAGGTGTTCAAGTATCTCTGCTTAAGAGAGCTGCTTTCCTTTCTGCAAGGTTACAGTGTCTTTGAAGTGCAAACCCTCAGAAAGCTCAGGAAGGACCTTATCACTCTCTACAACTATGTGAAAGGAGGATGGAGCCAGGAGGGGTGCGGTCTCTACTCCCAAGGAACAAATAATAAGAGGAAACGGCCTCAAACTGGCCAGGGGAGGTTTAGACTGGAGCTGAGGAACAATTCCTTCCCCAGAGGGTGCTCAGGCATTGGAACAGGCTGCCCAGGGCAGGGCTGGAGCCACCGTCCCTGCAAGTGTTCATTCACACACCGTGGAGACGACGCCCACAGTGCCATGGGTTAGTGGTGGCCTTGGCAGTGCTGGGGAATGGTTGGACTGCATGATCTCAAAGGTTTTTCCAACCTCGTTGATTCTGTGATTCTATTTATTGCCACCGGCAGCAGAGGCACTCGCTGCCGTCGGGCGCGGGCAGTGGTTCCCGCAGTTCTGCCGGTCAACGGGAGCAGCGGTGCAGCTCTGCCGGGCGGGGAACGGGGGTTTGATCTGTGCTGAGGGCCAGGCAGAGGCTCCTCCCGGCGGGTCCCGGAGCCGGCACCGGGATGGGTGGGCGGGACCTCCCCATCTCAGATCCTCTCCCCGATGGAGCGTGGGGAGGGGACCGCGCGGAACTCAAAACCTTCGTCCTCCCCCTCAGCCAATGGCCAGCACGACCGGCCGCCACCAGCCAATGAGAGCGCGGGACCCAACGCCACCAACCAATAGGAGCGCGGGGCCGGAGAGGCGAGTAACGCTCGAGAGCCGCAGCGGCGGTGGCCATGGCCCTGGAGCGCGGAGACCGGCCGCTCCCCGCCGGCACCGAGGGTCTTCCCCGGGCGTTCCTGCAGAGCCTGCGCACCCTCTTCGATATCCTGGATGACCGGCGGCGCGGCTACGTGCACCTACGGGAGATCGAGTCCCGCTGGCGGGGAGCGGAAGCCCGGGAGCTGCCCGCCGGGGTGATGGAGGGGCTGCGGCGGGCGGCACCGGCCAGCGGGTACCTCACCTTCGAGAGGTTCGTCCTGGGGCTGCGCGCTTCCCTGCCCGGGGCTGACCCCCCGGCGGAGAGCGGCGGGCGGCGGAGCGAGGAGAAGCCGCCGAGCCCGCGCTGTGCCGAGGAGCGGCGCAGGAAGAGCAACGGGCAGCGGGAGCCGGGGCACGGCCAGCACCGCGGCCGAGGTGAGCGGGGATCGGGCGGGGGCGGCTGTGACACTGAGGCTCCTGCGAGGCCTGAGCATCGCCTCGGACCCGCGAGCCGGGTGCCGAACTCGAGAAGTTACCGATGATTCTGACCTGGGCTCCAGTGCCGTTCCGCCTGCCTCGGGTTCGTGCTTCCTTCCCTTCGCACCCCTCCTCACGCGGGCCTGTCTGTTCATAGCAGTGACAGGAAAAATTAAGGGCTTTATCATAACGTGTTCGCAGTTGTCCCCGGCGTAGAGGCTGCCG